TGAAATGTATCATGTTGAAATTACATCACCCCATGAACCGTTAGGACATCGATAAACTGAGGTATTTAAGAATGAATTGGACACCGTGAAGAATGTAACAGTGATAATGCGTGTCAACCCACCAGCACAACCGAAATGGTACAAACCACGTCTTGTACCATATGCAATGGAATATGCGGTGACTACAAAGCAACTATAACTAGTGTAACAAAGCTTGATACTTACCCATTCCATGAATATATACGCGTTGTTAAGTGGAGGCAAGACAGAAGTAAGAATTTATATCAAGCAGATGGAATATCTAGGGTATCGTATGGATGCAGAATGATTGCATCCACCCAGAAGCAAAGTAAAAGCAATAATTCAAGTGCCACATCCACGGAATCTTACTGCGCTGGGATCGTATCTCGAACTTTTGAGTTACTATAGGCAAATCTTACCAAATCTGCCGAACGTATTAGCCACATGGGCTTACCAACTGACAGCAAATCCCTCTCGTGCTTGCATTATCATTAGACCTCTGCATGGGCTATTGGTTAAAACACAGAAATTGACATTGGGGGCAGGAACAGAATGAATCTTTTGAGATTTCGAAGAAATTGCTGAGCTCTTCGAAAATACTTATACACTATGATGCTAAGAAAGCCTTATTATTAGCATTTGATCCTTCGTCTTATATAATTGGAGCAGATGTATAGCACAGGATGCCTGGTGGATTATAGAATGCGATAATGTTTGCTTCTAGAACATTATCACCTGAAGAAAAGAACTACTCTTAAATAGAAAAAGATGGTTTGGACACTTTGAAATAACCTATAACCATAAACCACCACAGTGAAAGTAAAGATGTACCTGTGATGGTATTTTCGAGAATTCAAAGATGTTCACTCAAACTGTCTGCATATGATTACACATTCCCATACAAGCCAGATAAAAAATAGGGGCACGCCGACCCGATGGGCTGTTTATCTCTAAGAATAGAAACATCGATTGTTCTCATACTTAGCGATACAATTGGAACTGAACGTCCAGGATGGAGTGATATTATGGGGGAAGCAGATTGATTGTCCATCCTCAAAGTAGAAATCAAGTGTTGAACGTGTTACATGAGTCACATCCAGGTATGGTGCCCGTGAAAATATTTGCACACATGGATGACGAAATTGAAAGTACAGTACACAAATATAATTCTTGCAAAGTAATTGCAAAATTACGACCACCAACACTGATGCACCCCTGGGACTGACCTAGTAAACCGTGGGAAAGAATACATGTTGATTACACGGGTCCATTTCTTGATCACATGTTCTCACTAGTAACTGATGCATACCCAAAATGAACGCATGCTTATCCCATGCCACCTTTAACATCATAAGCTACATAGTTCTAGTATCTGAATGAGGATTGAGTCATTGTAATCAAGAACTTGACATCAGCTCCATATCATCCAGGTACGAATAGCCTGGCGGAACGATCCATAAAAACATTCAAAGTAGGAATGAAAAAGCAACAATCTATTTTTATCGTGGATGCTCACCCACATGTGTGTTTCCTCATTCATTAATATTACTTGTTGTTTATTCAGTTTTATTCTTTCGTATTCGTAATTAAGTGATGTTATTAGACTATATTTTAGATTCACAGTCAATTCGTCCCAATTCACTTTCGTCCCAACACATTCGCCCCACAAGTCGATTCGTCACAATTCACATTCGTCCCACGAGTCGATTCGTCCCAATTCACATTCGCCCCATTTCACATTCGTCCCAATTCACATTCGTCCATTTTTTAAATTTTTAGTCAGCATTACGATCTTGAACAGGGTCAATTTCTATGCCAACTGCTACTGACACGCTAACTAATAACTCCACGTTGCGTGAACGGTGTATTTATATTTATTAACTAATAACTTGTACGTTGAATGTCCGGTGTATTTGTATTTATTAACTAATAACTCTACGTTGCGTGAACGGTGTATTTGTATTTATTAACTAATAACTTTTACGTTGAATGTCCGGTGTATAACTCAGCGTTGTATGTAAGGTGTATTTGTATATAACGTCGGCAAAAACAAAATGGCGCAACGAACAATTACGCATGCCAGTGCATGACGTGTACGTGAACAGTTCGTTGTTTGGATGTGTTTGTGCTTATTTGGCGAGTTAGTAGTGGGCTAACCTTAAATCTGACGAATCGACTTGTGAGACGAATCGACTTTGGGACGAATCAACTTGTGGGACGAATCGACTTTGGGACGAATTAACTTGTGGGACGAATCGACTTGGGACGAATCAACTTGTGGGACGAATCGACTTGGGACGAATGTGATTTGGGACGAATCGACCGTCCCCCATATTTTACTGTATCTTTTCGTCCTTATTTTATACAACTCCAAGCTATATTAGCTGAGATACAACAATTGAAAGTTGTTGCATGCCTGAAACTATGCCGTAATGCATGTATCTCTTTTATAAAGAAGCACAGATTCGGTTTATACAATCCAATTAATAATAATCAATAGACAGCACGAACGCAATAGGAATCAGTTGCAAGGTCGATTTTAAGCTGATGTGCCAATATAGAAAACCAATCATTGTGTTTCCCTCCAATTTTAATCTATAGGTGTGAATCTATACCAACCCTATATCAACCCTATAAAAAGGGCATTCATTTGTTACATTGTACTTTCTTTGTTGTAACATTGCCATAATAAACAGTGTATTGTTTAAATGTACATTACGCTTCCTTTATTGTAACTCTACGATCCAATGCATGCAGTTTGAACCTGATCGAATGTGAGCGAATATCATCCACAATTTTAGCGCGATTTATGATAAATATCGTATAACTCCACATTCTACGATGGGAAAGTCACCTGCAGAGCTGCACTAACCTCGAAAGCCGTAATGACATACAGAACAATCCACCAGGGAACTACTTCTTACTGTTATAATTTTTAGTAGAATTACATGGATGCTGAAGATCGATTTTTGAAGGTGGATTCATTTAATGTTAACATTTAATAGTTGAACTTACAAAAGAAAATGTTGTGTACTGAGATCAGTTAAGTAGTTAGTGTTAATGCGCCCTCTATGGCTACTATGATACAGGAGTCGCGTTTTGTTCACACAATGGCGACTAACAATAAAGTTTCATCCATTTTCTTTGGTGTTTATAGCATGAGCACACAAACAGTGGTTTACCTTTATCAACCCCATGAGTTTTTGGAGGGCTGCAGTCTTTGACAGACAACATACTGCTGCTGCTGTTGACAGCTAGAATAATCCACTAAGAAAGGCAACACGTTTAGTTTGTTGGGGGTTTTGTCTGATTGACCCCAAAGAGAGAGAGGGAGATACTCACACGGATTTTCGGTGAGAGTGCCCTACAGCCAGTTACACAATATTAACTGGGATACATGGAATACAAAATACATGAATAACCCACAGCATTAGTGGTCGAATGCATGCTATCAACTCAAACTGCACATTATCATTGTCAAAACATACATAATGAATACAATGTCATATCAGAGAGATAAAATACTGAAATGCATAAATGAGGTGTATGCTACAGTATGAAGAATCATTTGCAAAGATTTTT